TATTCAAAATTTTGACCCCTTTGTGGGGGAGGTGCCAGTAGGGCTGGGTCTATACATTCCATATTCACAGCAGATCTTGTATTAGAGGAAATAATAAGATGCGTAAAGTTTAAAATGAATCGGGCACTTATTTCACATTTTATTAGCATTTTAGTTATTCGAAATTCTAACCCCTTTGAGGGGGAGGTACCAAAAGGAGTATTCCGATATATCCCATCTTGACAGCCGATCTTGTTCGTGTAGAAATATTAAGGTATGTAAAATTTGAAGGTAGTCGGATGCTTATTTCGAATTTTATTAGCATTTTAGTTATTCGAAATTTTGACCCCTTTGTGGGGGAGGTACCAGAAGGAGTGGACCGATGTATCTCATTTTTACAGCAGATCTTGTGTTAGGGCAAATATTAAGATGTGTGCAATTTGAAGAGAATCGGATGTTTATCTGGCGTTTTATGCGCCTCAGTGGTATTCAAAATTTTGACCCCATTGTGGGGGAGGTACCAGAAGGAGTGGGCCGATATAGTCCAGATTACCATATGGCCTGTCCCTGATAAAAATATAAGGATTTGCCAAGTTTGCACTAAATTTCATGATTCTCTCTTGTTCTATAAGATTATATTTTCTGTGAAAATATTTACGTTTTGTGGGGGAGGTACCAGAAGGAGTGATCCAATAGTGGCCATATTCGAACTCGAGCTTAGTTTGATAATAATATTATGATGTACCAAATTTGGATCAGCTCATATAATCCCTTTGAGAGTTATCGTGTGCTTCAAATAGCCAGGCAGGTGGATGGATGGGCGGAGTTGGTCCAAAGAGATCTAGCGATGAGACACTTTTCACCTGTAACGAAGGATATTTACTCTCCGGGGTCATATGGCTGAGGCTATAATAAATTCATGGACTTTTAGTCCTTGGGTCTATTGTAAATCCTTTTAAAGGAGCTAATTATCCTTTGGAAAAATACTAAGGATTTCAGGTTTAAGGTGTTGTTAATCCTTACAATTTATTTTTCAAAAATTTCCGTTTCGATATGGAAGTGTCCTTGGGAAGATATCCTTAAAAATTACATGTTTTTAAAAATCAACGTTAAAAGAGACTTCAAGCCTTTGAAAAAGGATTCCTTATAAAACTAGGTTAATAGCACTGTTATCCTTCAAAATATCTTGTGTCCTTTAGTAAATATCCTTAAAAAATTCAGGTTTTTGAAATTCAACATACGAAAGCAATGCCTGTCTTTGAAAAAAGTGTTCCTCGAAAATCTAGGCTACTAGCCCTGTTATCCTTAAAAAAGTTGGTCTCATTAATATCTACTGGCCTCTCCATTTTTTTTTTTTTTTTTTTTTTGCAAAAATCAATTATTTTCTCTTTGGAAATACGATACGAATTTGAGCCCCACAAAATAATGATATCAAATTTCAACCGAAAAAAATTAAGGAAAAATTCTGAATATTTAAAATTAATTACCGGAATATTCGCCGATAAATGGAACTCGAATAAAGGAATTCACAACTAATTTTCCATGGAAAATAAGATCGAAAATTGTAGAACTTTGACAGAAACGTATTAAAAATACATCAAATAACAGGATAAATAAATATATGATTTTTTTCAGATGTATTTTTAAGGATCACAAAAAAAATAAACCGAAGAATTCTGTATTTTTCGAAATATATTTTTTTTTGAACACCAGCATGGATTTTTACAGGATTTCTAAGGACAAAATATCCTTTGAAATTTGATTTAAAGAAAATTATTTTAAGATTTTTTTTAATTCAACAACGAATGAAACGCAAAATTATTATTATTTTTTCCCAGATTTCATTTCCACAGCCAAGCAGTTATTCTTTTCAAAATTCACTCCCCCCCCCCCCCCCCTCCTTGTTTTCAAAGAAAACTCCCGAACAATGCAAAGATAAACAGAAAAATAACAAGAAAATGTGTAGCAGCATTTCAGCCATTTTCTTAACGAGTTTTAATTATAATTTCATATAAGTTTTCATTCAAACCATACCCCCCCCCCCTTAACACCCCTCCCCCACTCTCTATGCATGCCTTCCCGCAGGAAACACCTAAAAGTATGTTATAAAAAATTTCCTTCTAAGTTTATAAAGGAAAGCGTCGTGAGGCTTTGAAAGTGAAGTTTCGCCAAAAGATGACGAGGCAAGGTTTCGCTCATACAAAGGAATGGGGGTATGGGAAAAGCAAACAGTTTCTACTTTACAGGCAGTTACTTTGGTTTACAGGATTTTCCTTGGGTTGCACCACCCTCACTTCCCTCCCCTCCTTGGAAGATTTAGGCATCTCAATTGTCTTTGGCATGCTGCTCGCCCCTTTTTTTGGCGTTTTCCCATGAAGAGTTTTGAACCAGGTAACCAGGTATTTTTAAGTTAATAAATGTATTGTGTGTGTAAGGAAGGAGTTGAGGGAGGGAAATGGTGTTGGGGGTGGGAAAGGAGAAGATGGAGCGGTGGTTGATGGTTTTGGAGTTACTGTGAAAAATGAAATCTCTTTGGTTTATGCACAGAAAATTTCTAGAAGGCTTTTGCCGCCACAGGTTCTCATAGGAGAAGGGGAGTGGGAGAGTGAGAGATACTGTATCCTGCGGATTTATTTATCCTGATATTTGATGGATTCCCTAATACATTTATATTAAAGTTCCAGAATTTTCGATCCTATTTTCCATGGAAAATTAGTTGTGTATTTCTTTATTCGATTTCTTCTTATCGGCGAATATTCCGGTGATTAATTTTAAATATTCAAAATATTCCCTAAATCCTTTTTTTCCTTGAAATTTGATATCAAAATTCGTATCGTATTTCAAAAGGGAAAATAATTGATTTTTGAAAAAAAAAAAAAAAAACAAAGAAATGGAGAGGACAGAAGATATTAATGAGGTCAACTTTTTTAGGGATAGCAATCCGCTTTGATCCTTTAAAGAAAAGTCCTTAAAAAATCCACGTTATTTAGACTTTTGATCCTTTAAAGAAAAGTCCTTTGAAAATCTACGTTTTTTAGACTTTTGATCCTTTAAAGAAAATTCCTTATAAATCCACGTTTTTTGGACCTTGAACGAAAAGTTCTTTAAAATCCACGTTTCTTGGACTGTTGGTGCTTGAAAAGTTCCATTTATAATCTACGATTCTTAGCTTTTTTCCTTAAAAAATCCACAATTCTTAGACTCTTGGTCCTTGAAAAAAAGTCCTTTAAAAGTCCACATTTCTTGGACTGTTGGTCCTTGAAAGAAAAGTCCTTAAAAAATGCAAGTTTCTTGGACTTTTGGTCTTTGAAAGAAAATTCCTTAAAAAATCCACGTTTCTTGGACTGTTGGTCCTTGAAAGAAAAGTCCTTAAAAAATGCAAGTTTCTTGGACTTTTGGTCTTTAAAAGAAAATTCCTTAAAAAATCCACGTTTTTTGGAAGAAAAGTCCCTAAACAATCCACGTTTCTTGGACTGTTGGTCCTTGAAAGAAAAGTCCTTAAAAAATCCAAGTTTCTTGGACTGTTGGACCTTGAAAGAAAAGCCCTTAAAAAATTCACGTTTCTTGAAAGAAAATTCCCAAAAAAATCCACGTTTATTGGACTGTAGGTCCTTGAAAGAAAAGTCCTTAAAAAATTCACGTTTCTTGAAAGAAAATTCCCAAAAAAAATCCAAGTTTCTTGGACTGTTGGTCCTTGAAAGAAAAGTCCTTTAAAAATCCAGATTTCTTGGACTGTTGGTCCTTGAAAGAAAAGTCCCTCCACAATTCTTTGACGGTTCCTTAAAAAATCCACGTTTCTTGGACTGTTGGTCCTTGATAGAAAAGTTCATAAAAATCCACGTTTCTTGGACTTTTGGTCCTTGAAATCACGTTTCTTGGACTGTTGGTCCTTGAAAGAAAAGTCCTTAAAAAATCCACGTTTCTTGGTCCTTGAAAGAAAAATCCCTAAAAAATCCATGTTTTTTGGATTGTTGATCCTTAAAAGAAAAGTCCTTTAAAAATCTACGTTTCTTGGAATGTTGGTCCATGAAAGAAAAGTCCTTGAAAGAAAAGTCCTTAAAAAATCCACGTTTCTTGGACTGGTGGTCCTTGAAAGAAAAGTCCCTATAAAATCTACGTTTCTTGGCCTGTTGGTCCTTGAAAGAAAAGTCCTTTAAACATCCTTGAAAGAAAAGTCCTTTAAACATCCAGGTTTCTTGGAATGTGGGTCCTTGAAATAAAAGTCCCTAAAAAATCCACTTTTCTTAGACTGTTGGTCCTTGAAAGAAAAGTCCTTTAAAAATCCAAGTTTCTTGATCTTATAAGTTCTTGAAAGAAAAGTCCTTCAAAAATGTAAGTCGCTTCGATTGATTTTCTTTAAAAAAAAGAATTTAAAAAATCCGCATTTGAAAGGCTGTTGGTTCTTGAAAAAATTATTAATCCATGGTTGGTCCTTGAAAAATGTCATAAAAAATAATGTTTGATCCTTCAAAAGTCCGCGTTGGTTCCCATAAAAAAATCCGCCTTTGGTCCTTGAATGAATCCGTAATGTGACACTGAAAATATACACATTTAGTCCTTAAAAAAGTTTGGGCCTTTGAAAAAGTATTTCATAAAAATTGACGTTTGGTCCTTCATCTGTAGTCCCTGAAGATATAAATTTGGCCCTTAAAACCGTTATTCGAAAAAATAAAAAAATAAATAAAAATCCACCTTTAGCCCTTAAAAAAATAAAATTTGGTTTCGAGTCCTTCAGCTTTTTAGCCTTAAAGAAATAAGTTTGGTCCAAGTGTACGGACAATGTAGCGTATGAGTATTGCCACTACTCATACGCCACAGACAAATCTTCTTAGAAACCCTCCCTAAAATTGTTGCATATTTTCAGGAGTTATTTTTAATATTTTAAACTTATCGCATGGAAAATTCTCACAACATTGTTAGGAAATTTAAGCCCCCTTTTTTTGGTGGGATTTCCATAACTGCTCCTGAACTGAAAACAAAAAAAATCTCACTAACTTTTTTCGTTTCTCTTTTTTTTCCAGATTACATGCAATCGTTGTGCAAAAATCATTTCCTCCAGCAGCTCTATCGGAAAATCGACGGCGCCGTACTCTGGTCACAGAACGAACGTAATCTCGACTGTATCATCACCTTTCAGACGCACTCGATATTGCAGCGATTCATGTTACGCTTCGATATGTTGCAATTGGATTGTAATGATCATTTGTATGTCTATGATGGGGCACACGCTGTGGCAACACCCAAGGTAAGTGCGGACAACGACAAGCGGCAAATCCAGCTTCTGACAAATGCATGCCAACCAAAAAAAAAAAAAATAAAATGGATAAAAAATCCAAACCAAACTTGTTGTTGAAAGAAAAATCACGAAACCGAATCACTGCGCTATAATTTCAATAAAATTCCACAGCTATGCCTGAATGGAGCCGGTTTGGATTTCCACGAAATCGAAACTGCCAATATTTTTTTTTGGGAGAGGAAGAAATGGGTTATGGGCTTTCCACATATGTAAAAATATTACATATTCATAAATGCCCCTGATGGCTGGATGAGTGAGTGACTGAACACTGAACTGAACCAAAGAATATTGGGTGCACACACACCTCAGTATTCAAAGTAAATGTTATTCACACACACACACATACATATTTACACAAACATGTGAGAGCCTTGCAAAGTCACCACCTCCAGGGGGAGGTGGTAGGGGTAGGCCAGTCAATTGTTACAAGTGTCTACAAAACAATCGGCAAAGATGTTCTGTGAACAACAAATTTAAATATTTATTTAAAATCGAAGATTCTCACATTTTTGAAATGGAGATATTGGGGCGGATGAGTAGCGACGTAACTCATACGCTACACTTTTTTAAATCATTTTTTCAAGACCTATAAAGGACATAGATTTTTAAATAATTTTTACAAGTCCTATAAAGGACATGGATTTTTTTAATAATTTTTTTCAAGGCCTACATAAGGCGTGGATTTTTTATTAATTTTTTTCAAGGCATACAAAAGGTGTGAATTTTTAATTAATTTTTTTTCAAGGGTATATAAGGCGTGGTTTTTTTAATAATTTTTTTCAAGGCCTATAAAAGGCGTGGATTTTTTTATAATTTTTTTCAAAGCTCTATTTAAAGTGTGGATTTTTAAATAATTTTTTTTAAGGCCCATAAAAGGCGTGGATTTTTTAAATAATTTTTTTTTTAAAGGCCCATAAAAGGCGTGGATTTTTTAAATAATTTTTTTCAAGGCCCATAAAAGGCGTGGATTTTTTAAATAATTTTTTTCAAGGCCCATAAAAGGCGTGGATTTTTTAAATCATTTTTTCAAGGCCTTTAGAAGGCGTGGATTTTTTAAATATTTTTTTTTCAAGGCCTATAAAAGGCGTGGATTTTTTAAATAATTTTTTCAAGGCCTACAGAAGGCGTGGATTTTTTAAATAATTTTTTCAAGGCCTACAGAAGGCGTGGATTTTTTAAATAATTTTTTTCAAGGCCTACAGAAGGCGTGGATTTTTTAAATAATTTTTTTCAAGGCCTACAGAAGGCGTGGATTTTTTAAATAATTTTTTTCAAGGCCTACAGAAGGCGTGGATTTTTTAAATAATTTTTTTCAAGGCCTACAGAAGGCGTGGATTTTTTAAATAATTTTTTTCAAGGCCTACAGAAGGCGTGGATTTTTTAAATAATTTTTTTCAAGGCCTACAGAAGGCGTGGATTTTTTAAATAATTTTTTTCAAGGCCTACAGAAGGCGTGGATTTTTTAAATAATTTTTTTCAAGGCCTACAGAAGGCGTGGATTTTTTAAATAAATTTTTTCAAGGCCTACAGAAGGCGTGGATTTTTTAAATAATTTTTTTCAAGGCCTACAGAAGGCGTGGATTTTTTAAATAATTTTTTTCAAGGCCTACAGAAGGCGTGGATTTTTAAATAATTTTTTTCAAGGACTACAGAAGGCGTGGATTTTTTAAATAATTTTTTTCAAGGCCTACAGAAGGCGTGGATTTTTAAATAATTTTTTTCAAGGCCTACAGAAGGGGTGGATTTTTTAAATAATTTTTTTCAAGGCCTACAGAAGGCGTGGATTTTTTAAATAATTTTATTCAAGGCCTACAGAAGGCGTGGATTTTTTAAATATTTTTTTCAAGGCCTACAGAAGGCGTGGATTTTTTAAATAATTTTTTTCAAGGCCTACAGAAGGCGTGGATTTTTTAAATAATTTTTTTCAAGGCCTACAGAAGGCGTGGATTTTTTAAATAATTTTTTTCAAGGCCTACAGAAGGCGTGGATTTTTAAATAATTTTTTCAAGGCCTACAGAAGGCGTGGATTTTTAAATAATTTTTTTCAAGGCCTACAGAAGGCGTGGATTTTTTAAATAATTTTTTTCAAGGCCTACAGAAGGCGTGGATTTTTTAAATAATTTTTTCAAGGCCTACAGAAGGCGTGGATTTTTTAAATAATTTTTTTCAAGGCCTACAGAAGGCGTGGATTTTTTAAATAATTTTTTTCAAGGCCTACAGAAGGCGTGGATTTTTTAAATAATTTTTTCAAGGCCTACAGAAGGCGTGGATTTTTAAATAATTTTTTTCAAGGCCTACAGAAGGCGTGGATTTTTTAAATAATTTTTTTCAAGGCCTACAGAAGGCGTGGATTTTTTAAATAATTTTTTTCAAGGCCTACAGAAGGCGTGGATTTTTTAAATAATTTTTTTCAAGGCCTACAGAAGGCGTGGATTTTTTAAATAATTTTTTTCAAGGCCTACAGAAGGCGTGGATTTTTTAAATAATTTTTTTCAAGACCTACAGAAGGCGTGGATTTTTTAAATAATTTTTTCAAGACCTGCAGAAGGCGTGGATTTTTTAAATAATTTTTTTCAAGGCCTACAGAAGGCGTGGATTTTTTAAATAATTTTTTCAAGGCCTACAGAAGGCGTGGATTTTTTAAATAATTTTTTTCAAGGCCTACAGAAGGCGTGGATTTTTTAAATAATTTTTTTCAAGGCCTACAGAAGGCGTGGATTTTTAAATAATTTTTTCAAGGCCTACAGAAGGCGTGGATTTTTTAAATAATTTTTTTCAAGGCCTACAGAAGGCGTGGATTTTTTAAATAATTTTTTTCAAGGCCTACAGAAGGCGTGGATTTTTTAAATATTTTTTTCAAGGCCTACAGAAGGCGTGGATTTTTTAAATAATTTTTTTCAAGGCCTACAGAAGGCGTGGATTTTTTAAATAATTTTTTTCAAGGCCTACAGAAGGCGTGGATTTTTTAAATAATTTTTTTCAAGGCCTACAGAAGGCGTGGATTTTTTAAATAATTTTTTTCAAGGCCTACAGAAGGCGTGGATTTTTTAAATAATTTTTTTCAAGGCCTACAGAAGGCGTGGATTTTTTAAATAATTTTTTCAAGGCCTACAGAAGGCGTGGATTTTTTAAATATTTTTTCAAGGCCTACAGAAGGCGTGGATTTTTTAAATAATTTTTTTCAAGGCCTACAGAAGGCGTGGATTTTTTAAATAATTTTTTTCAAGGCCTACAGAAGGCGTGGATTTTTTAAATAATTTTTTTCAAGGCCTACAGAAGGCGTGGATTTTTTAAATAATTTTTTTCAAGGCCTACAGAAGGCGTGGATTTTTTAAATAATTTTTTTCAAGGCCTACAGAAGGCGTGGATTTTTTAAATAATTTTTTTCAAGGCCTACAGAAGGCGTGGATTTTTAAATAATTTTTTCAAGGCCTACAGAAGGCGTGGATTTTTTAAATAATTTTTTTCAAGGCCTACAGAAGGCGTGGATTTTTTAAATAATTTTTTTCAAGGCCTACAGAAGGCGTGGATTTTTTAAATAATTTTTTTCAAGGCCTACAGAAGGCGTGGATTTTTTAAATAATTTTTTTCAAGGCCTACAGAAGGCGTGGATTTTTTAAATAATTTTTTTCAAGGCCTACAGAAGGCGTGGATTTTTTAAATAATTTTTTTCAAGGCCTACAGAAGGCGTGGATTTTTTAAATAATTTTTTTCAAGGCCTACAGAAGGCGTGGATTTTTTAAATAATTTTTTTCAAGGCCTACAGAAGGCGTGGATTTTTTAAATAATTTTTTTCAAGGCCTACAGAAGGCGTGGATTTTTTAAATAATTTTTTTCAAGGCCTACAGAAGGCGTGGATTTTTTAAATAATTTTTTTCAAGGCCTACAGAAGGCGTGGATTTTTTAAATAATTTTTTTCAAGGCCTACAGAAGGCGTGGATTTTTTAAATAATTTTTTTCAAGGCCTACAGAAGGCGTGGATTTTTTAAATAATTTTTTTCAAGGCCTACAGAAGGCGTGGATTTTTTAAATAATTTTTTTCAAGGCCTACAGAAGGCGTGGATTTTTTTAAATAATTTTTTTCAAGGCCTACAGAAGGCGTGGATTTTTTAAATAATTTTTTTCAAGGCCTACAGAAGGCGTGGATTTTTAAATAATTTTTTTCAAGGCCTACAGAAGGCGTGGATTTTTTAAATAATTTTTTTCAAGGCCTACAGAAGGCGTGGATTTTTTAAATAATTTTTTTCAAGGCCTACAGAAGGCGTGGATTTTTTAAATAATTTTTTTCAAGGCCTACAGAAGGCGTGGATTTTTTAAATAATTTTTTTCAAGGCCTACAGAAGGCGTGGATTTTTTAAATAATTTTTTTCAAGGCCTACAGAAGGCGTGGATTTTTTAAATAATTTTTTTCAAGGCCTACAGAAGGCGTGGATTTTTTAAATAATTTTTTCAAGGCCTACAGAAGGCGTGGATTTTTTAAATAATTTTTTTCAAGGCCTACAGAAGGCGTGGATTTTTTAAATAATTTTTTCAAGGCCTACAGAAGGCGTGGATTTTTTAAATAATTTTTTTCAAGGCCTACAGAAGGCGTGGATTTTTTAAATAATTTTTTTCAAGGCCTACAGAAGGCGTGGATTTTTTAAATAATTTTTTTCAAGGCCTACAGAAGGCGTGGATTTTTTAAATAATTTTTTTCAAGGCCTACAGAAGGCGTGGATTTTTTAAATAATTTTTTTCAAGGCCTACAGAAGGCGTGGATTTTTAAATAATTTTTTTCAAGGCCTACAGAAGGCGTGGATTTTTTAAATAATTTTTTTCAAGGCCTACAGAAGGCGTGGATTTTTTAAATAATTTTTTTCAAGGCCTACAGAAGGCGTGGATTTTTTAAATAATTTTTTTCAAGGCCTACAGAAGGCGTGGATTTTTTAAATAATTTTTTTCAAGGCCTA